ACATGTCTCTTCTACATCAACATGTGTCCCCTCTTCTTCATCATTGTCCCCTCTTCTTCATGTCTCTTCTACATCAACATGTGTCCCCTCTTCTTCATGTCTCTTCTACATCAACATGTGTCCCCTCTTCTTCATGTCTCTTCTACATCAACATGTGTCCCCTCTTCTTCATGTCTCTTCTACATCAACATGTGTCCCCTCTTCTTCATGTCTCTTCTACATCAACATGTGTCCCCTCTTCTTCATTACATCAACATGTGTCCCCTCTTCTTCATGTCTCTTCTACATCAACATGTGTCCCCTCTTCTTCATGTCTCTTCTACATCAACATGTGTCCCCTCTTCTTCATGTCTCTTCTACATCAACATGTGTCCCCTCTTCTTCATGTCTCTTCTACATCAACATGTGTCCCCTCTTCTTCATGTCTCTTCTACATCAACATGTGTCCCCTCTTCTCCATCAACATGTGTCCCCTCTTCTCCATGTCTCTTCTACATCAACATGTGTCCCCTCTTCTTCATGTCTCTTCTACATCAACATGTGTCCCCTCTTCTTCATGTCTCTTCTACATCAACATGTGTCCCCTCTTCTTCATGTCTCTTCTACATCAACATGTGTCCCCTCTTCTTCATGTCTCTTCTACATCAACATGTGTCCCCTCTGTGGAAAGAGACTCTGAAAGTTTCAGGAACAAAGATTCTCTCTCTTTTTGTCCTGATCCATTTCTATAAAAACCTGTCTGAAAATGGGCTGATCAGATTTTGGCCACTTTATGATGTGGCTCCTTATTTTCATCTAAAGTAACAGACAGAGAATCAGCACTTTGGAAACAGGGCTGAAACTTCAGACATGTTTTGTATATATCTGAGACCTATAATATATTGATGAAAAACAGTATAATAGGGGACCACCTTTAAACATGAGTCAAGTACCAATGAACCACCAGTTCCATCACTGAGTGCCCAAATACTGGGAACACATCGGTAGGTAAAGAAATATCTTCTATGATTTGTAGCGTTTGGTAAAGTCACTGAGGTGTAACGCTCGCTTTAAACACACCGTTGGGTTAGTAAAACATTAAACCATTGTTTCCCCTGGTTAGATATGAGAGGTCAGCAGATAATGAGAACATATCACCTTTCACTGCGTGGCATTATTGACTAACAGTCGGACATATTCACTTATGATTATCCAACAACGTTAGAGCAAATATGAGCCGAGGAGTTCATAAACAATGGAATGTCTCTATACTTCCTAAAGGGATTCACTGATACTCATCTTAATACACTTTACTCTTCACTAGAGTTCATGCTTTTCCCCTTTATATAAGAAGTGCTTCTAACAGT